AAATTTCTCCCGCGTGGTGTGCACGGGTCCTCAGTTGGCTTGCTATTTGAGTTCACCAGGCAATGAGAAAGATATATCACAAGAAACGCACTTTGGCAAAAAAAAAAACAAAACAAAACAAAAAGAAAGAAAATGTTTGCAAATGATCAGCTTTTGCTCTGCTCATTAGAGGGTAGTCTGTCCATAGTTGTTTCCTTTCCTTCGTTCTTAACAAGCACGCGACAACGAGTCCAGCTCCGCCCTCCCCTCCCCTCATCCCGCCCTCTCCTCACCCCGGCCTCTTCTCGTCCTTTGTTACACTTTTTGTAGGTGGCATGGAGTAATCGAAACGTTATTTAGCTTTATTATCCGTTATTTTTCTTCTAAAATTTACCAGAACCTCACCCGGCCCAAATACGAGGCAAAATTTTTGCCTCCTATAAATCCCAAAATTCCTCTCCGCTCCCCCCTTGCCATGAATTTTACTCAATCCCTACAGGGTTAGTCTGTCCATAGAGCCTCTATTTTGTCTGGAGTTCGTCGAGATTGCAAGCAAAATATTAACTGCAGGAGATTTGGAAAAGCCCGAACGCAAGGAGTGGCCCTGGGGAAGGACAAAATTAGAACTACACTTGTTTACCAACCCATTCGTAACAGCTGATAACCTAAACATTTCAAACAAGACTGTCGTGAAAACAGTTTTTTATCTATTTCATAAGTGGATGACAAAGAATCTATTAAAATCCAAGGGGTCTCTTTCACAGTGAAAAATAAATCGTACTGAAGAAGAGCAGACAGTATGAGGACTATTTTCTCGCAAAAATCAGAGATTGAGTACAGAGCGAGGGATTAAAACTCACATCTAAGCCATCATTGGAACGGAAAGTCCAACTTTCCTTGGTCAAGGCAGCTTGCTTATCCCAAAATATTAGGGCAATGTTTTCTTAAAAAGCCCAGTGTTAGATTATCTCCATTCTCTCCCCTCCCCTCCCATAACACATTTCACTCTTAGCTACCCTCCAACTACAACCCACGAGCACAACTAAGCACAACAAAACACAACTAAGTACAACTGTGTCCTCAGTTAGTGCTGTTGGCGCTAGAACAACCAGACACTTTAATAAATGATATGCATGTATGAGTGTATGTATGTCTGCAACAGAAACCCATGAGCTACTGTATGAGGGGTACAGAAGGTTCTCAACTTTCCACTTGCCAAACTTGCTGTTCCTTTTACTCCCAGTTCCCAATCTTGCCTCCCTTCTGTAACTTAATATGCTTTTACCAAGTGGGATACATGGGGTGGCTATAACAATTGTGGGCCTCAGAAACTTTTGAATCCATCTCAGAAACTCAGAATCCTTTGTGATGAGTCCTGCAAGTCTGTTTTTGTGTTTCATTGAGCACAGATCCAAGTCACAAACCTGGAGTTTCAAAACAGGACTTGCCAACACATTTTGAATTTTAACATATGCCACCCCTGTTATTTATTCTTAAATATTACTGACACAACATTACAAACATATAATTTATTTCTGACCCACTGGTGAAATAAATTCAGCCCTCCCCCCACACACAGAGAGAGACATTGAAACTCAGTACGACTTATAATTGGACAAATTGCCATAGACCATCAAATAAGCAATCTTACCTGGCAGGTTTTACCCCCAGTATTTCATTTGCCAATTCACCTATTTATCAATCTGGGAGGTGTAAAGCAGCGCAGGACTTAAGTGCTGACTGTCCATGACCACCAGTGAGTGTCCAACTGAGACACCTTTGAGCTAGAAGAAAAGTACATTTAATAAGTACCTGTTTGGGATAACAACCAAATGTAATATCATGATAGAAATAAAAGCTAGTCTGACCCCTAGGTTTTGACTGAATATAAGATGTCAGCTTCTCTTATCGTCAGTTTCTGAAGCAATAGAATACTGCAGTGGTGTTTCTAACCCCACTGACAGTTTACAGTAGCCCTTTTAGCCAGCTGCAGCATGACTGACAGTTTTCACCACCCATTGATATGGTACGAATAAATACATACAAGTCAGGAACACATGATCAACTGGGAGGAAGAGGATTCAAATCCCATCAGGGACTCAGTGTTTTCAGCTTCCCACACTTGCGACATAATGAACACTTCATATCTTTTGCGCAATATATGACACAAAATTAAAACTATCACCTCAGTGGAACCCCGCCAGGGTACAGACAGCTATTTTACAAAGGTAAACGTTGTGTGTTTCTACACCATGCTTGCAGGATGTTTTCTAACAAGTAAGTCTGAGAATTGTGAAAATTGTCCCACTCTAACTGATAAAAACTCTTAAAAGTGCTTTTAAAACCCTCTATAACTCTTCCACTTACATGTATAACAATTTGAGCACATCTGATCAGTTTCAAAAAGTTAGATTCTACTACTAAAAACAGTTAATCAATCATTTAGTTGTTTATTTGTAATAGTGTAATAATGGACTGAGTAGAGTGCAATTCAGGAAGTAATGGGGTGAATAATTTCAAAATCAGATGAGCATGTAACACAAGGCCCATTTGAAATTACAAGCATAATTACTCTCTGAATTGTACGACACAAGGTCCAATTACTAATTGATCATAAAAAGAACAAAATTCTGAAATTAAAGTCTTTTGAGAACTTCTTTTGATTGAAAAAGTGACAAGCGCCTTCCATAACTGTAGGAAATATTGAAAAAAAAGCCATTTAAGTGTGCACAATTGATGTACGAATGGCGAAGGTATCCAATTACAGGTATCCAATTACAATTGTTGAAATAGATCTGTTTTCGCCTACATGCAATAAAAAAATAGATCGAAAACCATTCAGTGGATAAAGTCAAGAAATTGTAATCTTTAAGGAAAATGAATAGAAAAGACACTTCTTCAAGTTTTAGGTTTGCGCATTTTCCCAGACTGCAGATATTTGTCGAGATGTTTCACAGAAATTTACAGAGCCCAGTATGGAAACGCCATGTTGGTGCACCTCTGTGGTGCACCAATATGGCGGCCAAAAAAATAGTGTAAACATCTGGAACTTACTTTGGCTATCTAGGTGACTCATTATCTGTACTGAACAAACAAACATTTTCCTAACGATCTAATTAGTTCTAAAAAAGCTAAAAATCATGAGATAGGTATATATTTTTCAACAAATGCAATTGTAGCTTTGTGTCACGCATTGGCATAACTCTGAAATACGAAATACACTGGTTTTCAAATGAAGCACACTATTGAGCTGTAACATTGAAAACAGATATAAATTTACCCCCTCTTTAATGCCAGATGGGGATAGAAACTTTGGCGGCTCTTTAGTTTTCAATTTTAGAAAATGATGGCATCACATGAAAATGATCTATTGGATACCTGTAATTGAATATCTTTGCCATTTGTAGGTTGATTACGTGACAAATAGCTGTGCAGAGAACCAATCACGATTGAGAATTTTGTTATAGATACAATTAGCAATAATATCAAATATCATAATAATTTTGGTCTAAATATACTCACATTGTTCTTTAATTTTCCTTTGCTGTTCAACCAGAGACTGCAGCTTCTAAAACTCTTTCCAGGTGTCAAGTTCAGCCTTTATCCTTTCAATAACACTATGGAACAAGATCTCCATGTGAGAATTTCTACAGATTTTTGACTTTATTCAAACTGTCAAAATATGGGATAAGCTGCAGTTAATACAATACAATACAATACAATGCAATACAATACAATACAATGCGTGGAGCACCTGACCCATATCTGAGAGGTCCTTGATTTGATTCCCGTCAGGGAGTCAGTGTTTTTCTTCATCCCATATATACTCATGACATATTAAACATTTTATCTTTCACATACCGGTAGTATGTACATTATCAACTAAAACACAAGCTCATAAGTTATACCTGGTTCTTTCTTTCTCTGCATAATGTGAATAGACAACATTTCACTGTCCATGTTGTACTTATAGCGGATCGATCGTGTTTTCACTATGTGAAAGAGGCAAACTACTTTATGTAAGAACCCCTGATGAGTGTATAGGTTATTAATTATTTTCAGTGCCAGTGGTTTTCCAGTTATAATTAAATTTCAACCTGCAACCTGTGACCTGCAAAATATACCGCTGCCCCTGCTGTGGGGGGGCCAATTTTGCGTACTAGACTGGTTTTCCCATAAAACCTCAATAGTCTGCATTAAGACACTGGACTGTGTTCTCCTCTTCGTCGAACGCAATAAATCAACGCAACTTTCATCCCAACCTTAAAGCCACCACCTTTGAGGACACTGAATGGTCTCATAACTTGCAAGTCTCCAATACCTATCACTCATAACAAGGGGAAAAATATTTTGAACTGATACTTTTAGGGATAAATGGCACTAAGCCATTAAACAAGAAAAATGGATTTCGATGGTTTTCAAGCTTTTTTGCCTCCTGGATGCAACATTTTGATTTCAAACATTCAAATAATTTTAACAGTGAGATCTCTATGAAGCTCTGCAAATTCAAAATTATTGATAAGAAGTGGTGGGGTGTGGGAATGCAGTCACAAGCAAGTCTTATAACTAAGACCCCACCTGCCCATCTAGTGTCTAGATATTTGATGTTAGTTTATCCTCCCAGACAATGTCGAGTTAACTTGACTTTAGGTTAATGAAACAATTTCTGGTACCATTAAAATGGCGTTCCTAACATGCAATACAGCCCTAACAACAGAACAATGAAAAGGCTTTTACAGGAAATCGGCAAGGTGTTTCCTGACGTTCACATAAATCGTAAAATCGCTTACCATTCATGCACATCTTCGAAGTTCCTTCACCACGAAAACCGCCTGAATATTAGATACAGCCTGGGTATTAGATTGTCACGCAATCTGGTCACAGAAGTGGTATGCGTGACCAGCTCCTTGTGCTGCTTTACGTCACAGTCTACAACAGTGAACCAACAAATCTAAATATCTGGGTAGAAAATTTCACAATAAGAGACGTAGATAAGCCGTTGAACTTCATCGCAAGAATTCTATACACATCTCAGTACATTTAATTGATGTGTGAGAGTTGCAGACTTGGCTCTGATCAGTGTGGAAGGATTCATTCGCAGCCAAATGTTACCTTTTTCTCACAGGGTTTTTTGCTGAAATGGTCCAGAACTAGGGTTAGAAAAGTTGGGTCTGACAACGAATGCCACTGTGTCTAATTTCCTTATTTATTCACTGACCGCAAAAATTTAGAGCACTAGCTTTGACCAAAATTAACCAAACAAGGAAACAATTAAAGAAAGATGTTCTTTCAGAACTGTAGCTGGTTGGACCACTGCTGCTCTGTAATAAAAAAAATATACAACGGGTCGGACTGCGCAGTGATTAATTAACAGGGAAGAGAAGGTTTCGGTTTATTTACCAGGCGGCTACGAGGTTCATTCGCTCACCATATTTCAACCTCTGTCATTTGATTTTAACTCTCTCCTGATCTTCTCACGATAGAGGTTGTAGAACGGGAGACCAAGTACAAGAATTAAGAACTTCTGGCCTAAGTTCCTGTCACGAGGCAGATTTTGAGTAGGGAGAAGATATCGATCTATTTGTGTACCTCTCCGTTTTGTTCCGTTTAGCTTTTTGTTCTACTCTCACCTCTCACTCTCAAAAGAAATAATCACCCATCTTAATGAAAGAAATTAACAGTTTAATTGTCACTTATTGTCGACAAAATTTATTTTGAACATCTTCAACATTTTTATAAAAACTATCACGATTCTTATTACAATAGTCAAACGTTGTCTTGAAAAAAAAGATTTTCAAGTCTTCAGAGTAGCCCTTAATGGCAGTTCAGTGTGTAATTCTGAAAATGTCTTCACATTATCAGTGCATTTCTGGCCGCTTAGAAACATTTGCGGTGGACAATGGAAGGGCCAGATTCGTCGTATTCTTGCTTGGAAATCCACATCTGTTGGAAGGTGGACAGCGAGGCCAAGATTGATCCTCCAATCCATACAGAGTATTTACGCTCAGGAGGAGCAATGATCTTGATCTTCATTGTGGGTGGAGCCAGAGCAGCAATTTCTTTCTGCATTCTGTCAGCGATTCCTGGGAACATGGTGGAGCCACCAGACAACACTGTGTTGGCGTACAGGTCCTTACGGATGTCCACGTCGCACTTCATGATGGAGTTGTATGTGGTCTCATGGATGCCTGCAGATTCCATTCCAAGGAAAGAGGGCTGGAACATGGCCTCAGGGCATCTGAAGCGCTCATTGCCAATGGTGATGACCTGACCATCAGGAAGTTCATAGCTCTTCTCCAAGCTGGAGCTCGAGGCAGCAGTCTGCATTTCTTGTTCAAAGTCGAGGGCAACATAGCAGAGTTTTTCTTTGATGTCACGCACGATCTCACGTTCAGCTGTGGTGGTGAAGGAGTAGCCTCGCTCAGTCAGAATCTTCATGAGGTAGTCAGTCAAGTCCCTGCCGGCCAAGTCAAGACGAAGGATGGCATGAGGAAGAGCATAACCCTCATAGATGGGAACAGTGTGACTGACACCATCACCACTGTCAAAGACGATTCCAGTTGTACGGCCAGAGGCGTACAGGGACAGCACGGCTTGGATGGCAACGTACATGGCTGGTGAATTGAAGGTCTCAAACATGATCTAGTGGAAAAAAAA